CGGCTGCTCCCAGCTCCCGGGATGGCTGCAGGAGCATCTCCGCCCCCGTCCCATGCGCGGGGGCTTTGCAGTGGCTAATTGCCAGCACTGGGGATGCTGCCCGGGCAATGCACAGCTGAGCTTCCAGGGCCACAGTGCATCCCGCAGCGATGCTGGCCTGGCCAGCACGTGCTGTGCGTGGGCGCCCTTGCTGGGTGCCTTGGGGGATGCCTCATCCTCTCCCAGAGTGTCGCTTCCTGGTCGTCTCCCTGGACCCTGGCGCTCTTGGCTGAGCTCCTTAAAACCAGCGCGCAGCAATGCAGCATCGCCACTGGCCCCCTTCCAGCCTAAACATCCCCACCCCGTTGCACGACAGGGGCTGATAAGAGCCAAGGCTCGGAGCGGGCAGGTATCTTGTGCCCAGCCCGCGACCTTACAGACACATGGCCTTGAAGGTTGCCGTTTATCGCCTGCGCCCGTGTATGTTTGTGCGTGTGTGTGTGCCTGCGCGCGCTTGCGCTTTCTCGCATCCCCAAGAAATGTTCTCAGCGCCTCTGGTTTTCGCTCTGGGCCAAACCCACATGCACGTTGCCCGAGACCGACTCCGAACAGGCTCCTTTGATGAGCAGGGCTTAAATATATATTTGGCATTCCAGCGGCAGCGTGCCGAGCGTGGCCGAGGGTGTGAAAGTGTTTGCTTGACAAACTCCGGGGGCTCTCACCTCTCTGCTGGCCCTGGGGACTCGCAGGAGAGAAATGTCAAGGAATTTTTCACCTCTCTGTTTTGTTTTGTGTTTTTATTTTGTTTTCCTTCTGGAAGTGCATTTTTAGCTCTGGTGAAAGGTGCCTGATTGACAGCCCCAGAGACTGAGTCCCTGCTTTGTCACCTGGATGGGGCCTGCGGGAACAAGAGTCCCCCTGCCCCGGCCTTACACTGACCTGGGGGCTCCTGGCTCCCCTCCACCAGCTCGGTCCACTTCATGATCCCAACACTTAGAGCAGGGGCAACTGAGGCCAGACTTGGGTACCAGCAGGAGGGAGCTGCCCCGCAGCCTTACCTGGTGGCCCAGGCCGTGGCTGAGGTCTTCTCAGAGCCATCCCTTTCACCAAGAGCCTCTGTCCGCTGAGGATGGCAACAGAGTGTCAGTCACGGGAACTTGGTCACCACTCTGCAGAGCCGATGCTACTGGGACCGCGCTGTGCCTATCGCTCTGCGGAGGTTTCCCAGCTGGTGTCCCCATGTATGGCTGCTCCTGTGGTACTGTGTCCCTCTGGGGTGCAGAGAGGTCTCTTGCCCTGTGTCTGAGCAGGACGCGGTGATGGGAGATGGAGCGGGTGGAGTAGGAAGCTGGATGGGCGTCTCTGCGGGCAGATGGGCTGGCTGGATGCTCTTAAAACAGTGCATGGGAGCCTGGTGGCATGAAGCAAAAAAATCCTTGATCTTCCCTTACTCCTCCAGGCTCCTCCTGGGGCAGGGGCTGGGGGTCGCATCTGTGTGTTCCCAGCTGTCCCCAGCGTAATCCCTCACGAAAGAGAATCCCCTGCCCTGCTGCATCCGTGCTGTCTGCCGGCAGCGCTGCCTGGCCCTAAATCACCCGCCGCTCTCTGGCTGATGGAGCCCCGTGGAAATGGGGTGCTGCCCCCCCTGCCCATGGAGAGTGAGGGCCAGGGGCTGGTGGCAGCAGTTGGGATGCTGGAGACTATGGGATAGTAACCGGTATCCTGGGGACTGTGGAATAGATATTGGGACCCTTGGGGTTTGGGGACAGGGAGTGGGATATGGAGGGTCTCTGGGAGAGGGATTGGAGTGCTGAGGGGCTGTCAGACAGGCGCGGAGACCCTGGAGACTGTGGGGCAGCAAGCAGGCTCTGGCTCTGGGGCAAAGGCAGGCTTGGCTCTGGCTCCCCGAGGTTTCCTTCCCGGCCCACTGAAGAATCACTGGCTTGTGCGCCGGAGCGCGGGCCCGTGGATTTCCTGGGCAGTGAGTCCCTTTCATGTGGCCGCTTGCAAACTCTCATGACATCACCAGGAGCTGCTCCTCCCGGAGACAAACCCAGCACTTTTGAGGGGTTTGCCATTCCCCCCACCCCAGCCTGTGTGTTTTGGCTGGGGGGGGGGAGCCGGGGAAACGCGTCCAAGAACGGCCACTCTGGCCCAGAGACAGCACGAGGCACTGATGGGCAGGGGGAGGGCAGCGCGTCCCCCGTGCTGAATAAACATGGGCTGGCCGGGGCTGGAGGGGGCTTTTCCAGGCTGGACCACACCCCGGGGGGCTATTTTTGCCATGAATGAAGGGGCTGTGTGTTCGCCACGCAGCCTGGCCTCCTGCCGCCGCTGCTGCGTGCGGAGAGCTCGCCTGCCGCTCAGCCCTGCTCCCTGGCCAGCGCCCAACATCTGGGCTGCGCAGCTGGGTGATGCCCGCGGGGACACCTGGGCACCTGGCACAGCTGGGCAGCGCCTCAGGGGCGCAGCTGGGCATCTGGCACAGCTGGGTGATGCTCGGAGCACAGCTGGGCACTTGGCACAGCTGGCTCATGCCCTATGTGGAAACCTGGGCACCTAGCACAGTTGGGTCTTGTCCTGTGTGCACATCTGGTCAACTGGCACAGCTGGGCAATGCCTTGTGGACACATCTGGGCACCTGGCACAGCTGGGTGATGCTGCAGAGGCAGAGTGGGGCGATGTCTTAGGGAGACCCTGGATCATGTCTCAGGGGCACGCCTGGACACCCATCACATCTGGGCACTGCTATAGGGGGATCTGGATCCTCCTGGGTACTGCCCACAGGGACACCTGCCACCAGGGTGACCTGGGACAGCTGACCCCCTTCTTCCCGGATGCTGTTCCTGCAGGCTACTGGAGATGCGAGGCAGAGGTCATGCAGAGGCAAGTGACAGTGACTCAGTGCATGTGCCAGCGGCGGTGCCACGACCGTTGGGGCACGTCAGGCCCAGCCTAGGAGATGCCTGAGTTAATTGGGGGATTAACCCTGCCGTCCCCCCACACGACGACACTTCCTGCTCCAGTTTCGGGTCAGGACGGGGCCGTGTGTGGAGGTCCGTCCCTAGGGGCTGCCCCTCCGGCTGTGCCATGCCATGGGGCCTGGGTGGGTGCACTCATGCACGGGAGGGATTGCAAAGCCACCAGGTGGAGTGGTCCCTTCCTCTGGCTTGTTTCGGTCTCCAGTGCATCCAGATTCCCCCTGAAGCTCCTAATCTTGTCTGTCTGAGCCCTGAGTGGCTCCCACTCTCTCTCAGTTATCAGCTAATCCCTTGTATGCTGGGTTCAGAGCCATGCTGGGCATGGATCCCTGCTGGGCCTCCCAGGAGGGGCCATCTCCAGATTCCTGTCACCACCAGCAGCCTCCATGGGAGCTCTGGGGCCACCATCTCTGGGCATCCCGCTCCTTGCCCTATGGGACCCCGTGCCCAACCCTGCAGTCCTCCTGGCTCCCACATCCTGCCCTGCAGGCCTGCAGGACCCATTCCCTGCCCCACCAGGGCCTCAGAGCCAGCAGGGATGCTACCCCACACCTCTCCAGCCTGCTCTGTCCTTGCTCTCCTCTGTGCGTGTCCCAGTGCCACTGCTGTCCCCAGGCTTGGCTTTCCAAGGGGACTGAGGGCTCTCCTGGCGCAGACCCACAGTCCCAGCTCCTGAGCGTGCCCTGCACCTCAGGGGAACTGTGAGCACTTGTTCCCATGAATGAGTGGCCTGTCCTGGCTGGGTGGAGCTGGGGTGCAGGATCCCACCCATCACTGTCCCTTATCTCCGTGTGGCGCCCATGTGATTCATCAGGTGTGGCTCCGTTTCCATCACCCCACTTGGCAGGAAGTTTCCTGGCAGCCCCAGGCCAGCCCCCCGTAAGCCCTGAGCAACAACACACCGAGATGAGCTGGCCGGCTTTCCTGAGAAACCCTACAATAACAAACCAGGGAGATGCGTCCAGCTTTCCTGGACGGACAATAATAACCCAGCATGAGCTGGCATGCTTTGCAGTGCAACCCTACAATAATAAACCTGGGTGATGTGTCCAGCTTTGCCGAGCCACCCTGCAATAACAACCTGGCGTGAGCCACCCAACTTCCCTGCAGAGAAGAGGGACTGTCCCTGAGCCGCCCCTCGGGGGAGCAACCTGGCCAATGGCATCAGGGAAGCTTCAGGGCTTGCTCGGGAGCCGTCCTGCCAGCTCCTGGCCTTTGGAAGAGGCACCTCATGCTGCTGGCAGGCCTAGCTGGCAGGGGCAATGCCCCTAGGTGCCACCAGCTTGTGTCCCTGCCTTCCTGGAAGCCAGCAGCGAGTCCTCACAGGCCTTGGCTTGCCTGGACCTGTTGCATCTTTGCATCTTCTGTGCACAGCTCACATTAGGAGCAGAAGTGGCACCCAGCTCCAGCTGCCCCTGTCCCGGTGTGGCCCCCATGGGCTGCCACATGGGAGGGCTCGTGCTCATGGCCCAGACAGAGCTGGGATATGGCCAGCAGCTGCCCCCGGCCCTCAGCAGCATTTCCCAGCCTCTCTTGGGGCTCCCTTAGGCTTGAAGAGCTTGATGGCCACTAGGCGACCAGAAACCTCTTTGCAGAGCCCAGGCTGCTCCCCATGGTCTGGTCCTTGCAGCGGCTGGAGAGATGTAATGCAGGAGCGGCTGCTTCCCTGCCCAAGGCCTGTGCATTCGAGCCCTCCTCTTCCCTGCAGTTATCTCTGGAAGAAGAAGGAGCTGCAGGAGGGCAGCGCAGGGGCAGGACCCCGTGCGGGGGAGCTGCAGCCACCCCAACGTGGAGGCGACACAATGCGGAGCCCCCGCTGCCGCGCTCGCTGTCCACGAGCGGGGCTGTAACCCAAGCCACCGGAGCGGCACAAGCGGAAAAGAAAAGGGTATTGAGCGGCAGGCTGCTGCGGTTGCGGGCCAGCATAGACTGCTGGTTGTTAGGCGGCAGCCTCGCTTGCAAAGGCTGCCTTGATGAAGTGTGAGACGGCACTTACGGAGGGCCGCGGGCAGGCCTTCGCGCTCCATCTTCCGCTCACAGTGCCGCTCTTTATGCGCCTGACATTTGCTCGCTGGAAAGGCCCCGAGCGCCGGGGGAAAGGAAAACATCGCCCGCAGCAGGGCCCGCAGGCTGGCTGGGAGGAGCGCGGGGCTGCCGCCCGGCCCGGCCTCCCCCCTCTCTCTTCCGTGCCGGGGAAACCCTGGCTCTCCCGGCGCGGGCCGGGAGCGCGGGAGCCAGCGCGGGTGCCCCCATGCAGCACGGGGTGCCTGGGGGCAGCTCTGCCTGCCGAGGCTGCCGCCGTCCCTGTCCCCGCCGGGAGGCTGCTGGCCCAGCAGCAAGCCCAGATGGGCGCTATGAACATCCCAGCACGGTCACTGCCCAGCCTGGAGATGCTGACAGGACCACGGGCAGCGATGTCCCATGTGCGTCCACTGGGGGATGCCATTCCTGGGAGCACACAAAGCCAGTGCCAGAGGAGAGCAGCTGGACACAGGGCACCCTGGCCTCTGAGCCTTTCCTCTGTCCATCAGGGCTTGCTGCAGCATCGCCAGACTCCTCTTGCAACCGTGTCTGCACCGTTCCGGGACGGCCGCTCCAGCTCGCTGCTTGTGCGGAGCCCGCTGGCGGACAAGCCCGGGGAAGCCATGCACCCCCGGCCCACACCCCTTGGCTCCCGGTCCCGGCAGGAATTATTAAGTGTGCCCCTGAGGAGCATGTGCTGAGGCCAGCCACGGGAATGTGGGCAGATCTGACATACAAGCCACAGCAGCCAGGCTGTAATTTCCAAACAGGCCCCGTTCACTGTGTTTTCCAGTTAAAAATATATTAAAAAATAGGAATGTGGGGTTTGCAGTGAAGAATGTTGGTAACCGCTTCGAACGTCTGGTGTGATAATGAAAGGGTCAGTCCCCAGCTTTGCGCACGACCGATTTAGACTCTGGTGGCTGGCAGCGGCGCGGGGGCCCAGCGCGCTCCAGCCCGCCGGCAAAACCGCTCCTGGCCAGCGCTGGGGCAGAGCGATGCCTCCGCACTGGTGGCACGGTGCCGCGCTGGGGGACGTGACCCTCCTGG